ACTCATATCCCTTTGCATGATTCATGGTATATCTACCAACCAAATTTATAGTCCATCTTGTTACAAATGATGCTTGATGGTATCAAAATATATGATTCTTCATATAGGGAACCGTAGTGACTTCAAGTAAAAAGATCACGTACACCACAGATCACAATGAGACGAAGTTATAACACTCATATAACGATCCATGTAGTGATCTCATAGGGGATCGATCTAGTACATGTTCTTTAACATGTACTTATATGTTGACTTGATATCTCACATTCAAAACACATCGTTATCGGTTAATATATGTAGCAGTCTCAATGCTTTATTGTTGTCTCTTTAATATATTCATAATAAAAAAAAATTGATTGAGGACATTTAAGAATAATAATATTCTTGGGAGTTTATCATGTTCATTTAATAGAATGTAGGAATAAATAAACATAACAAATGGAATGCCTTATACATACATACATATACAAACCATCCAAACAAGTTGGATCTAGGGCACCCACACTAACACTCCATGCTAGACTATTCCATGCATCCTTAATCGGCGTGTTAACTACCGCATCCCATAAAAAAAAGTACTTCTACATGAAAAAAAAAAAAAACTAATATTAGTACATTTTTTGTTAAATTCATACTTTAAATGAAATATAAGCAAATAATTAATATGCTACCCTAAACTCATTAAATTAGAAGTCTTTCATCTCCTTAGAGATAGACTTCTATATAAAGCTAGAGACGTCCAACCACTCCACGACAATTATGGTGATTTTTATGGAGCACTAACTTGATGAAACTAAACTATTGAATAAAAAAATAAAAATAAATAAGTAAATTAATTATTTCAATATAATATATGAAAATTTAAAACCAATTACCACATGTAAAGCATATTACTTACTAATTATCAATGACTCGAATGGTTCGTCCATCATCAAATCAAGTATAACTTTTTAAAGTCGAGGAAACCATTGTGGGTACATCCGTAGTAGGGAGCACTATCGACGGGGACATTGCGGTGAGAGTACTACGCCGGGGATGCCAACACCACTATCTACTCCGGGACCCCTAACACTTGCACTAGTAGTGCCACGTCTACATACACTATCACCATCGAGCCCGACCACTAACACTCGTTATCGGATATGTTCAATCCACATAGCATAATTCTAGAATAACACCCGAAATAATTTAAAAAATAAAATAAATAAATAACAACTCGATTAAAAATATATTATAAATTATTTTCATAAAAAAAAAATTCAACATAGTCTCCCCTGTATATTGGATACTCTATTATTATTGAAAATACCACCGAGCACAAAATTCAACACATTCAAAATGCACAACAAACATCTAAAAAATGTATAATAGACAAAATGATATAATTTAATAAATAAAATAAATCTTTAATTTCAAATGTCATAATCATCTTTTAAGTTTTCCTATGATGGAAACGTTCTTGTCACTTCTCGGTCACTATTTAGAAACATAAATTAAGTTTCCATCAAAAAATGGACGAGAAAATTAATTCAAGAAGGCAGCCCATTTTTTATACAACTAGCGATGTAAATTATGTTTTTTTTGCTATTCCATCATAAAATAGATGACCAATCAATTCAAGAAGGCCGCCCATTTTTTACAACTAGCAACGAAAACAATACCGTCACTAAATAGCAATAAAAAGTAATTTTTCATCTCTATTATATCATCAAATGGGTGGATCTTTAATTTCAAAAGGTAGCTCAGTTTTTTTAGTTTTAGAGGCGGATTTTGTCGGTTCTAAATGAAAACATTAAAAAGAGCGATGAAATAGAAAATCCGTTACTTATTTACGTAGTAGTTCAGTCTTTAAAAAATCGGGAAATATTTTGATGCCACAAATAGGAACATAAATTAAGTCCATTTCTATTATGTTGCTAAATAAAATAAACGCTATTCGATCGCTATTTACTCATTATTTAGTGTCCATCACTAAAATTCGTTGTTATTTTTTGGTTTCGTTGTAATGGCTGATTCTTGCCCAAATTCTAAGCATAATGTATAATAAATATTTTTAGTCAATATTGACATTAACAAACATTAGTTTTCTACATTAGACTTAGCTATTAGACTTGACTCATTTTACAAGTTATCGAGCAATGAATCTATTATTTAGTGATGGTTTGTAGTCCATCACTAAAATCCGTCGTTATTTTTTGGTTCTATTGTAGTGGTTGATTCTTGCCCAAATTCTAAGCATAATGTATAATAAATATTTTTAGTCAATATTGACAGTAGCAAACATTACTTTTCTACATTAGACTTAACTATTAGACTTGACTCATTTTACAAGTTGTCGAGCAATCAATCTATTATTTAGTGATGGTTTGTAGTCCATCGCTAAAATTCATCGTTATTTTTTGGTTCCGTTGTAGTGGTTGATTCCTCGCCCAAATTCTAAGCATAATGTATAATAAATATTTTTATTCAATATTGACATTAACAAACATTAGTTTTCTACATAAGACTTAGTTATCAAACTTGACTCATTTTACAAGTTGTCGGGCAATCAATATATTAACAAAGTGTATTCAAATGGGACATTCATTCTTGTTTGCAAAACTTCAAGAAAAAAAAACATTATGGCATTGCATCGAACAGTTGACATGCAACTTAGAATTTGCTTTCTTTTTGTTTAAAATGCAACAATCCCACATTCCCATTTCAAACTTCCCATTACAAGTTTAATAGGATGCAAATCAATAAAAATGGTTAAAATATATCTAAGTAATCAAACAAGAAAGTAAATAATCAAGCTTGTTTTCTTATGATAGGTACTATAGAAGAGGATTGGAGTTGGTGCTATTCCATGACAAAGAAATTGTTGCGGTGTTGGTTTAGTGTTAAAAGAGTAGAGGTGGTTCGGTGTGGAGGAGAGGATATGGTTTAGCCATGGAGGACTCGGTTTGTTTGTGGACTTAAATTTGGATGATAGAGGGCGGTAACATGTGAGCTATAGCTTAGAGCCGTAGTGATTTACGAACTGTGGTGCTTTGCTTTTTTTTTTTTTCTTTCTTTTATTTATTTTAAAATTTTTTATTTTAGTATTTTATATATGTTCATAGGGTAAAAAAAGATAACTATATTTATGAATTAATTTTCCATTAATATAAATGGATAATACTATTTTATTCATACTTAGCTCATTACCTGTTAGGGTATTCTTAAAAGGTAATTAATGGACGAATGGATAGGATACCTACTTTATACCCGACCTGCTCGCTATCCCTACATATATAGTAAGAAAATATACAATTAAAAAGGAAGAGGTCAAATCTTATCTTAATTAGTCCTCTATCTATTGTTCTCAATCAAAAATCAAAATTTTCAAAATCAAAACTTCGATACTAGTTTGTCGGAAAATTAAAGACCTAAGGTTTGCCACACCATCACAAACAACTGAATTCAATGAAAAGACTAATAATAGAGATGAATAAAGAGTGGACACACAAAATTTAACGTAATTTGATAAAATCTTGCCTATTTCACAAATTCGATAATAACTTTTAACTATAAGAGAAAATTAGTATAAGAATATGATTGTGATTTTTACACTCAAAATTCAATCCTAAAGCTCTTTGTACACCCTCTCTCACACTAAAAAATATCTATCAATCCTTGTGTTTTTCACACTAAAACATTACATATTTTCACCTATTTATAATGGTGAGAATCTTTAGCGGACAAAGGATTCTTTATCACTACTCTATTCTATTTATTTTGTCATCAATATAAAAAATTATGAATAAAAACCATCATTAAATTGTAGCTAACTTTGGTCTTAACAATGGTTTTTAAAAACCGTTGCTAAATTTGGGATCTTTTTCAATTATTTAGCGACGTTTTTTATGATATAGCAATAGATAAACTGTTGTTAAATTAGCGACGGATTAGCAAAACCCATCGCTAAATAATTAGTAAGAAGGTTTTTAACGATGGTGTTTTATTATCGTAAAATCGTCGTTAATTATAATTAGTGATGGTTTTTTAACATTTAGTGATAGTTTAACCCATTGATAAATGTTTTTTTTTCTTTTTGTTGTTGTTGTGTTGGTGTATCTATGAATGTGACTTTAGCTAATTTTTGCTAGATAACTTGCCTTTCAAGAGCTGCACCAAACTCAACTTACCTTTCAAGAAATATGAATTGAAAGATTATAAGATGTTCATATCTAGTCTTAATTACAGTGGCTCTTCGAACTTAGATTCCAAATCCAATGTTACCTTACTAGAAATTGCAATGAACAACAAAAACATTAATATCAGTTGTGACCTCAATTTTGTCTACTTCTAGCAACAATTAATAATGTCACATTCAATAATTATTATTTATGGTTGAAAAACCTAACAAACACGCAAAAAGAAACCATAACATGAAAACAAACATTACCACATCCACGCATATGTACAAAATTTGATGAGTATTATGAATGAAAAAAAAATTAAAAAAGTGTCATGAATCTACCAATAAACAAAAATATCCGAAATTGATGGAAAGAAGAAATCACACATTAATACATAAATAATAACCACTTACTTATATAAAAAAAATGCAAACCTCTACCACTTAACCTGTGGTAGAAGTTTGGACTTGAAATGTGTAGTTAAGACACCCATCTCAATTGGAATACAAATGCTACGAATTAGAATCAGTTGTTAATTAGAGACCATGCTATAGAAAAAAATAAATGATAAATGAAAACATATCAAGAAAATTTTGAGACCAACAATATTGAAGCTCATTAACCCATAAAAAAGGAAGAAAAAAATCTGTATGTACAGAAAATCTAATTCTAACCCCTCAAGTTTCTCTCTGTTTTTCTTTTCCTCAATCACTTTTGTATATGTACAAAACATACCCACCTCAGCCCCGAAAAGAGGCAAAAAAAAAAAAAAAAGAAAAGAAAAATCTCTTCTCCTTTTCTTTCTTTTATAAAAAGCCAAAAAAAAAAAAAAAAAATCTACTGCAAGCCAGGAATTTGTGAATACTCCCCATAAAAATCAGGGATACCAGAAGCAGCCCATAACCTTTCATTGAAACTCTCCTGCAAATCATCAGGAATCACCGGTGTCCTACAAAGTGGACAAGTTATCTGATCATATCCCATCCAGTGGTCCAAGCAGCACTTGTGAAATATATGGCGACAGTTTGCAAGCCGTCTGATCTCATCAACCTCTTCAAACTCATAAAGACAAACAGCACAGCTATCAGCAGAAGGATCAACAAGTTCTGAAAACTTGACAACAGGAAGGATCTCCCGGATGAGAAGGGCAGAGACTGAGTGGTTGTGGAAGTCAGGGACACGAAATGGAGGGATATTGTCGGTTGAAGAAGAAGAAATGCTCGGTTCAAGAAAGTCAGGGTGACCTAGGTAGAGAAAGAGAGTGTTTATTAGTTTTCTAATGAAACCCAGAATAGAAAGAGTGTGGAGAAGGAGTTTTGGTAGAACTATTTCTGAATAGCCTACAGGAAACCCCATGTTGTGTTTTTTTTTTTTTTTTCAATGTCAGAAAGAGAGAGAGAGAGAGAGTTTGTGTTATAGAAAGAAAGATGTAGAGGGAGAGAAGGCTGTGTTATATAGGCATTCTCGTGTCTGAGTTACGATTTTACCATGTATAGGTCCATATACAGGGAATAAGAGAGGATTTCACTTATGTCTTATTCATGAGCCTTTTTACAGGTAGGTTGGGGTTTGGTGCAATGTTAAAAGTAAAATGTCGGGCTAGCCGTGTTTTTCGCAACTGTTTTTTCATTATCTATCTTGCACGTATTATATGAAATTTACTGATATGTGCGAGTCACAAACCGTATGTTCAGAATTAGATACAACAATTAATTATGATAAAAACGACGACTACATATCTTTATAATTAAATTAAATTTAATATTATAGTCATAATCAATCATTGATATGATAATTAAGGATTTAATATTGAGTTTATGCTTAAATGTTTCTGTATCTATATTCAAAATATTCCACCACAATCTTAATAAAAATATAGGAAACTAATTAGAAGAAAAATATTTCCTAAATTTTGATTGCAGAGTTATGATGTCTCGATCATAAGGTGCATATGCCATTTTGCCTACGCTTCATTGGGCTTACAGCGAGAGGTATAGATTCATATTTGGTCCTGTTACCTTAAATTATAAGAGGTCATGTGTATATTTTTTTTAAAAAACAAATCTAATATATTTGACATCGAATATATATATATATATATATAATGACATGGAATGATTTTGATTAGGGAATATTAAATTAATGACCATATATAATTAATGGTATTATTAGGATATCCATGAGGCGGTGATTAGGAATGGCTAATCAATCTTCAACGAATATATAAAGAACCATTTCTATACCCTTCGTGATGATTGTCATCATAATCCAAAAATGCACAAAGAAAGCTTGTAATTTGAATATTTAAGCTTTTCACCAACAAATTTAGGACCCACATTTGAAATTGTTGAAAAGTAATGGCTATAATTGGCTCAATCGAATGTCTAAAGACTAACATTCGGTGACAATTACATATCAGCTTGATAAGAGTAACGAATTCAACTCTTAGATCTAACCTTTGGTGACAATTACATATCAGCTTGATAAAAGCAACCAATTCACGAGATAAATTGGATGGCCAAAAATATGGGAAAAGTTACCCCACTCGTACTTATGTAATATATTAAATGTCTAATTTATTTTTATATTTTAAAAGAATCAGTTATATCTCTATATTTTTTTTAAAAAAAAAAATTAACAAAACCATCGGAAAATTCACGAGATTTCACGTGATAAATTTTATTCAAAAAATACCTGGAAGAGTGGACACGTGCAAGTTACCATCTCATCACCATCCTCTCTCTCTCTCTCACTTTGATCAGAATTCGACGAAAGACAAACACCAAATCTATGTTTTTTCTCTTTCATTCCTTCTTCCTCTTCTTCCCTTCTCCTTTAAAAATCCAGTCAAAATCGCCAAAAAAAAAAAAAAAAAAACCCTAAAAACCTCTATATTTTACCTTAAATCAAATCTTAAGTCGTCAATCTACATCCCATATCTTAAAGTCGTCTAATTCTTTTAAGCGAATATCAAATCCTAATCTGTTGGTCATCATCAAATCCGCCACTTTGCTTCACTTTTTTTTTCATTTTCCAGCCATTCATTATCTCAAATATCCTTTAATAATCAAAACCTAATCCAACACCACAAATCTATAACTTGTTGCCTAAAAAAATATGTTTCATATTTGTCTTTGGCCAGATTTCGATCAAAGAGAGAATGTGATGATGGATTGTGATTTGAACATGTCCATTTAATTGATATGTACTTTTGATTTAAAATTAATTATGTATAAATTACGAGATATTTTTTAATAATATTATTGAAAAATATTATCGTAATGATAGATTGAAAATCACTTAAAATACAAAAATATAATTAATTTATTTAAAATATACAAATAAAATAGATATTTACTCAATTATATAAAAACAGATTTGACCACTTTTTGAAAAATATTACGAGAATCCTAAGTAATCAAGTAATGGGCCAAAATGAGAGGAGTGAGACATACATTGAAATGTCCTAGACATGAAGGGGGCAATGGTTCCACCAATCATGGATAAAACAAGGAACAACAAATAAAATGGAAAGATCATGTAGTCATGGCCTCTTGTGGGGGTCAAATTGGGTGCCCTAAACACATCATGGTGTCGTTGTCCCCTTTCTAAATGGGTTAACCACTATTACACCAAATGGCCTTGTGTGGACTGATTTGAGACAAAGTTCGATCCATCTTTAGGTTATATCTCTTTCAAGACGTTGCTGCACATAAGCACTTACGAATTCCCTTTGTCTATAGACTTCTTGAAAGTCGTATATCTGAAGTGCATGTACGATATTGCTGACCTTCATGATAACCACATATTAATGAGTTGAATTTCATCTCTGGGTAGAAAAATTGAATCCTAGCTCGAGCTTAAATCGTTACCAGAACTAAAAGTGAAACCCTGATTTCAATGCATTGCGGACTTTCAAAAGCATAGATAAACTCGAATCTTCGGCAGAACTCCTAGCTAATTTTCTAAAGAGAATTCGGTGGATAACTTCAATTAGATGCAAAATAGTTAATTTATATTCACCGTAATCAATTGCATGCTTTTTCAAAGGTGCACACACATTGGCCGTCAAGATGAGAATATTTTCATTTAGACGATTTAGGTTAAAATCTTGAAAAAAATGAAATGAATTAAAAAAAAAAAGGGAAGTCATATTATATGTTTAAAGATCTATTGCATCAATTTTTCTGCAGGAACCAAATTAAAAGTACCTATGGAAATAAAAAACTACATCAACATTAATTTATATTGTATTTAACAAAAAAAAATTAAGAAAAAAATAAGAAGAAACAACTAGTATTGTGAAAAAGGAATAAATTAATATGATCCCCTTAATTAAGCTGCTGCATCTCTTGTAAGTAGTACTTGTCTGTGGGCTCACCATCATAAAAATAAAATCACGTACCCAAGAACCATTTGAGTTGTCTCTTAATAATTAGTGATGGTAAGAACTCGAGGCACTGCATGTGATAATTAATCTACACGTACGCCTTTTCCCTTTTTTGCTTTTTCATATTTAGCACTGAGGGATTTGAATTTGACATATATTCCACCTCCCAAATTTCAGCCATCCTTTATTCCTGGTTCATCAATACCTCTTTGCCATATCTTTAAGAATTTGAATATCATAAAATACGCAAAACTCTTTCTAATTTCAAACCCATATCATTTGCAATTTTATATTGCTTTAAATTTTCTAGCTATTTACTCCTTTGTGTCAAAAAGAAAGGAGAAATTGCTTTAATTAAGTAAACTTTGGAGTCCTTTTCCTATTTTAATCATTATTAACACTAGCTATAATTTATAAGAGAATCACACGATACATTTTCAACAACTGTACATGAGAATTTGCCTTCAACCTTAGAATGATATTCCATGAGACGAAATTAAAAACATAAGAAACTAATATTATGGCATTCGAATCCCAATTAAAAAGTCCTGAGACATATATTGTTTTGAATATTTTAATATCAATTTTCATATTTTGACATCTAAGCTTTTTTTTCCCCAATCAGATTTAGACAGATTATTCAAACCATTGCCGTTCATGTTCTTTCGTGTACGTATGAAAAAGCCTATAAACACGTATAGATATCTATCTATATGGAATGGAGTCAATAAACTACTCTCTTTATGGATAAATGCATAGTGCAATGAAGAACCAATATTCAATAGGCTCGTTCTCATTTGAGTTAATTTGAATGATCTTCAACAGCAAAGCAAGGAAGGAACTGAGAGAATGTGGGCAGAGTGAGGTAGGGAACAAAGAGTGTCGGGTTAGGGAAGGGAGACCCGGCCAACTAGCCAAGCAAGATGGGTTAAGGGATGGCCTTTCGTAAGTAAGGGGCTCGTGCCCTCATCATTCTCCCCCATGCACCATAGCCGAAGCTGGCTCTGACATGTGTCCAATACAGCCACGACATGTTTGGACCCACCCCCAATAACACTATCCCATTGACACCACCACACCCACCTCCCAGACCAATAGGGAAGGGAGCGATAAATTGTCACCACCACCTTTGTCTCATCTCTTGTTTTATATTCACGCCGTGGAGTCCCAATCTTGAATCATAATTGTATTTTTATGTGCCATCATAGAAATATTGTCTACTCCACGTTATGTACTTCAAACAATTTTATATTAGCTCTTGTGTTTAATTTAATTATTCATTCATCATATACTATATGATCTTCAAAAAAACAACAACTTGTTATTCAAAAAATAAGAAAAAGAGAAAACGAGTTCAAGTTGCCTAGTGGTAGTTGTTAGCATACATTTGAAAACGTGCGGGTGCTGCTGTAGAAATGTTTGTGTGTATTGGCTGCAAACTGCCCAGATATTGACTAATGACTAATGAACCTTTCAAAGCTTCAATCCACTTGGGTCATAAATAGATGTATTTTTTTCCCTGATATCGTCCGACTACAAGAAAGAAAATTGTGATGAGTGCAGTTCAAATATAAATGAACTTCTTATAAAATTAGGTTAGATTGAAAAAAAAAAAAAACAGAGAGACTAGTCTTAATCCATACAAATTGAATTGAGAATGACTTATTATTAAAATAAAAATAAAAAAGAATAATGACCGGCCGTACATATTTTGAAACAATTAACCAATGAAATTAGAGGTGAATTAACATAATTCAAATGAAGCTGGAACTGATTACATTTTTAGCTACGTTTGCTGGCAGTTGGCCCTATTAGGATCAGATTTAACAAGTAGCTCTGCTAAATCCAACACTGATCACCCACATTACAGAAAGTGCATGGCAAATTACTTTGAGCCAACTTTTCATGCCACTAGATATATTTTAATTTATATGTTTAACTCTTTAAGTTTGACCCAGGGTAATATATGCTCTGTCTTTATTAACATAATCCTACTAGAAATCACGATTTGTATGCAATTAGTTCCAAATCTTAATCAGAGATTGCCTGCCCATAAGGTCTAAAAATCACAATTGTTGTCTACAAGTATAGCTAAAAATCGAATTCCATTCAACTTAGCTTGTCAGAAACTGTCTTCGCTAGCTGAAAAACAATGGCATTAAGAATTCTAATTATATATATATATATTGAATGGGACAGTTAATTAACAACTTTATTGCAGTGTAAAGCTGAAGTAGATCAATGGTCATCTGGGTCATGCTTAAATGGACCTGTGAGACATACGCTGATCATTTGTTGATATAGACTGACGAGGACCACATGGTCCTCGCCCTCTCTGTCTATTTTTCCTTCGTTTTGGGAAATTGAATGACTAATCATAGTTTATATATAGTGCACATCTTCTATTCAAATCATGCCTGGCCTATAAAACAAAATTGCCTTAACCTAACTTCTCAATCATCTGTTAAATGCCCGATTGTTCCCATGACATGTGCCTCAATCTTGCATTTGTTGCCTTCCAAAAGCCATCTCCTTCCACAATCTATCTTGAAAGGACGTAGCAGAACAAAGCTAACCATTGCAAAAGCATATGTAACGAAGGAAAATTAATTATCTATTTTATTCAATTTAGCCTTGCCTTTAAATACGCTAGTTACACGGGGAATTGGAGATAAACTAGGGAATTGGTTAATGCAAGATATGACTGTGTCCCACAAATTGAGCTGCCCAATTATTCACTAACTTTAACACCCCCCCCCCCCACACACACACACACACACACACACACAAAAAAAATTCTTGATACGGTTAATCCAAGTAGCATCTGATTCAGTAGTTCCCTGCCACTAAACCAAATACGCCATCCTTCTTCCTAGTCCACATATATAAGAATGACTTCCAAAACTTTTGAAAAATCATCACTAGTACTATAGAAATTCGACAACCGAGGAGTAACTTGGGAGGAATCTATTATACTTTTCTTCAAGATCAAGACATGAAACAATGGGTGAATTTTGCTAAAGAGTGGTAAATTTAGTTTAAACACAACCTGCCCAATCTTCTAAAGTACTTGAAAAGGTCCATAAAAACGAGCAACAAGTTTTTGAGAAGCTCTTTTAGCCACGGAGGTTTGCCTAGATGGTCGAAGTTTCACATAAACCTAATCTCCCGGCTCAAACTAACGCTTAACATGATTCCGATCGTAAACTTGTTTCATCTTATTTTGTGTGCCCAAAAGTTGAATTCGTAGTTCTTGAAGTGTTTGATCCTTTTGGAGCAAAGAATCCTCAACTATTTAGACTCCGGCCATTCCTAGTACATAAGAGAAAAGAGTTAGGGAGGTCGGCCATAAAGGATTTCGAAAGGAGTGAGTCTTGTTGACGAATAAAAACTAGTGTTATAGCAATACTTTGTTAGTGTAGGTATTTAAGATCTAATTTTGATTGAATGGTTTGAATTATTGTATCATTACATTATTTATTTTATAAATAATAATAATAAATTTTCTATTAATTCTTATTTGTTTATATTTATTTATTGAATAGAATTCGATATGATAGGATATGCATTTTCATTAATGATTGATCAAAAGATCTAAGACAAATATCAATGCACTTAAATGATATCATTAAAAATTCCAAGTCGTAGCATTGTCGAGAATTGACATTGACTACATGTGGTTAGACTTGTGAGTGCTATGCTCAAGTTATAAGATAGCAGTAGGATATTTCACACCTATTAGTATGGTGATGCCAAAGTAAGTACTTAAATGTTCCAAGTCGTAGCATTGTATTATTTATTTTATCAATAATAAAATAAGTCTTTCTATTAATTCTTATTTGTTTATATTTATTTGTTGAATGGAATTAGATAGAAGTTCATATGATATGCATTTACATTAATGATTGATCGAAAGATATAAGACAAACATTAATGCACTTAAATAATATCATTAAATGTTTCAAGTCATAAGCATCGTCAAGAATGGATATTGACTATATGCAGTTAGACTTATGATCGTTATACTCATGCTATGAGATAATAGTAGGAGATCTCATAGTTATTAACATGGTGATGCCAAAGAAAAAATTTAGGTGATTTATATTAGAAAACACATCACTAAACTTGACTCGTCATGAGAACCCATTTGGTTAGGTCTATGAGAATCTCATACGAGATGGATACAACTCGGTCCTTTGATTTAAAGTCATCACGGTAATCTCATTAGAGGATTTATGTACTTTGACACTCATTTTCATGGATCGAGTAAAGAGTTGCATATAGACGCTTCATTAGGTACACTAAGAGTCTAACGAAGGTAGGTGGTGACTAAGATAGAATATGTCATTCATTGTATACTAAAAAAGTTATCACATTGTATTTAGATGAATTTTCGCTCAAGAAATATATGACAACGAGTAGGAGTACATCAATAAAGCATAGTTGGTTTATTGTAAGAGCTAAGATATTTGAGAATCGAAGAAAACTTATGTGATCATAATCGAAAAGACTAATAACTAAGTTCGAGATCATACCGTGATAAATTGACATGAGGATCGAATTATGATAACCATGCTCATGAAAGGTAACTACAGATTAATTAATTCTCTTAGAGAATGAAGTAGTTATGATGCCTTGCTAGATGTCAATATTGATTTATGTATCAAGAGACAAAAGAGGTGCCTTTCATTCTTGATACATTACCAACATATGTAGGAGCCTATTGAGTCACACGCATAAGTTTAAGCATTCACATAATAAAAGAGAAGAAAAGATATTGAAAAAGGTTTTCAATTTTGAAAGTTTCTTATTTTGAAAAAGGTTTTCAAAAATGACAAGTTTTCTATTTTAAAAATCAGTTTTCTACTTTGAAAATAAGTTACTTAAAAAGAAAATTAGTTTTCTAATTTAGGTTGAAGGGTAATTTAAGAAATTATTTTCTAATGTGGGCCTCCTAATAAATCTAACCTAATTTATTTAGATAGTCTAAATTAATTAATACTTAATTGGGCCAAAATAGTTTGAGCCAATAGGTTTAATTTAAAAGCTCGAAAGATATTTTAGTGAAAAAATAAACGTGAGCCTTATTGGATAATGATTAAGATTTAAAAAGATAAGATCAAAAAGCTCACATACATAATAACTCCTAATTCGTAACAACTTAGAGTCCACGGGGACAGAGTTGCTGCCATTTTCTTATCCTTGGAGGATAAGAAAGCCTCTCCCCTATAAATAGAAGGAGAGGTACGACAAAAGAAGATAAAAATTTAAGGCTACACGAGCTTGTTATGAAAAACAAAGAGAAAATAGTTTTCTCCCTCCAACACAAACACCATATCTCCTCTCTCTTAGGGTTATTGTAAAATATCCTTGAATAGATTTCTAAAATAAAAACACTAAACAAGTGAAAAAAGATGGATCTAGCACTCTACTAATTTTGAGTGCTTCTTGTGTGGGTGCTTTAACCGTATAGATTATCGATAGAGGTCGGATGCTTGGACGACTCTTTTTTTACTAAGTTTAAAATTTACGCTACAAGAAGTAATCCTTTATTTATGTTTTAATTCATATATATACAATTAGTTGATTCAATGGCATGATCTTGGGAACTTTAGATGGAAAAAAATATGTTTTTAATTCCACACCTCCATAGGATTTATGATCCTTCAATTGGTATCAAAACCTCCATTGAATCTTTAATTGTATGCTTTGTTAATTATAATTAAGTACATGAATTAGCAATTTTTTTATTATAAATCTTATATTTTTGGTATTTTATATATGCTTTAAAACTAAAATTTAGGCTTAAAAGAGTAGGGGCGCGCGCGAGGTCAACATTGGACGTTGGCACTCGCGCGCATAAGCAAGGAAGTCGGTTAGTCGCACGCTAGGTGCACGATAAACCGGGCATGCCTAATGCATGCCAAGCTTTTTGGTAAGCCGATCACG